GTGTTGTTATTCGCTCATTATAATATATTAAAGTTCATTAACATTTGTCTCTTCTGATCGTTGTTAATATTTCTTTAGATTCTCGCACTGGATCTTAGTTGTGATTCATAGAATTGATTGAAATCGGTTCATAACGATTAATAACTCGCCAGCCGTCTTACCAAATATTGTGAGTCCTACGGATATTAGTCATTTAATGGTTGAACAAATGCTATTACGAATATATGTTCGATTTTATGTTTAATATGAGAGTGCCAGTTTTGGAGTCGTTTGTTAGCTCCCTTGTATCTCAAATATTACATAAAGTACATTGATTTAAGAGCGATTTTCGTATATCATGTTGATGATTGACGAAGTATTAAACTTAGACTTACCCTTGGAATGCAAGTTTGTTAACACTAGAAGCTATTATATAATGTTTCGTCGCTTCGAATCCAATTACCCGCAGCGCTCGTTGTATAGAACTTTGACACTTGCATTCGTTGCTTTTGGATAATGCGAACCAGTTCCTTCGAAATGTATGAATCAGAATGTAAGAAGATCGTACCGAAACCAGTTTCAAGATATAGATATTGTCGGGGCCTCATTTCTGTTTGAAAACGTTATAATTATTTGCTAGTGCTAGATTAGCTTAATTGATTTTAAAGGTATGTACCAGATACCCTAACTGTTATAAGAATAAAGTAAGCAAATTAATATAACTTGATTGGCAATTCAATATAATCAATAAAAAATGCGGATTTATGTGTAAAGTAAAATTAAGATTTGAAGTTTTCTCTTAACATATATTTATTAATTCAATATCTGGCAATTTGAAATGATAATTATATTATTCATTCTGTATAATATGTTAAATGATCTAATAAATATACACCTTAATAAAAAAATTTACTTTCTTGTACTATGCAATGGATAAATAAATGATATTTTATTTATTTTTAAATAAATGATATTTTATTTATTTTTAAATAAATGATATTTTATTTATTTTAAGTTTCACCTATTTTCGATCGTTAATGATTTAGAAATTAACGAAATGGTGCAATTATGGTATATATTATTATAATACCATTAATTATAGTCGTCTTCTGTATACTTTTGTAGTGAACAATTGTTTTGCTTTCTTTAATTAATAAGAATAGAGTTATTTTGTAATTAATTGTAAGACATCCACTTGTTAGATTGGGTTTACAAGCGTTTCTAATCTAACTAATTGTACGAACCTCACTTCATTTCAAATGTATTTATTCAAACTATAACTTTTAACGGTACGGACGAAAAGGAAAATGTTTCGTCAGAAAACCTCGTTCTCATATATATATCTATATATTAATACGTGAAGCAAAAACTTTGTATCCCTTTTTACGAAAATTGCGCGGACGGAGGAGTATGAAATTTTCCACACCTATAGAGAATATAGAGAAGAAATGCACAATGCTAATATTTTGTTAAAATAATGCATAAAAGATACATTAAATCAATAAAGAAAACATTACACACACTACATATAGTAATCGGCAAACTTCTTGAGCAAATGACCTTGACTGCGCAGAACCAAATTTTAGATCACTTTGGTGGTGAGGGTGAGGCGCGACGGCAGGGGAAATCGTATCGAGCGCGTTATTGGTAGATCAGTCGAACCTTGCGTCCCGCACCGCGCCCTCATTCCGCTTGCTCCCAAAAGTACGCTTGCGTACAGTGGAAAGTCTATCGTTATTAATCGTTAAGTTATTTGTTATAATTGCTTGTGGACTTTATTGCCATTGCTATTTGTTGAGTGTTTGTTGATTTTTTATAAAACATACACTATGCCGTGACAAACTGGTGTAGTACTTAAAAGAAAGGGTAGAAAATTTTTGTACGACGTATATTGCTTCATTATAAAACAGGGGAAGAATGATATGGAAAAATTAAAACAGACTTCGGAAGCAACAAAAACATCAGTGAGTACTGTTAGGTGCATTATTAACGAAGCTAAAGGCTCTGGCTTGCTCGCCGTGTTTCGGACTCCGGGTAAGAAAAGATCAGGGAAGAAGAAAGTTACCGGAATGGATAGTTTCGNATGGAAAAATTAAAACAGACTTCGGAAGCAACAAAAACATCAGTGAGTACTGTTAGGTGCATTATTAACGAAGCTAAAGGCTCTGGCTTGCTCGCCGTGTTTCGGACTCCGGGTAAGAAAAGATCAGGGAAGAAGAAAGTTACCGGAATGGATAGTTTCGTTCAATCTGTAATAAAAAGATGTAATCATAATAACTACATAACGAGCAGCGAAACTCCGTACCGTAGAAAGGCTTCGAAAAATTTAAAGAAGATATAAATTTTAATGTCTCGGAATGAAGCTTACGACGAATTATGAAAGAGCTAGGCTTCAGATGGAAAAAAGAACAGAAAATAATCGGAAGCTGGTAAATGAAAAAAGTAACATTCGATTACTACGAATCGAATATCTTCAAAAAATAATTAATTATAGACAAAAAAGAAGACCGAATCGACCGAGTTGTAAACTACGCCGATGAGCCCTATGTCGACTCATCACGATGATAGCGACTCGGGTGATGAAAACAGTGATAATGATGATGGTCAAGATTATGATAACAAAAAAAAATTACAAATACCAGCTTCGCTTCAACTGAACCAAGACCTGGCAACAGCTCTAGTTTTGACTTAATAGAAGGAATATCTATTTTACCCCAAGATTAAATTATTACAATTATTAACCTATATGTTTTGTTGATATTCTAATAAATATATAAATAAATACATATGTTGATTTTAATAATTTAATAGCATTATGACGCAGAGTAAGTAATGTTTTTGCACGTGAGTGTACCATGCGCAAACTTACCCCCACTACGTCAACAAATGCTCAAGAAGTTTGCCGGTTATTATACCATGTATTTGACGCAACACGCATGCATGCATACTATTTATTGTCAAACTTTTGTTCTTGACGTCTGTTGTCAAATTGAGAATAGATTTATATTGTTTGTCTGTGTTAATATTTTTTATAGTGTAGTCTTGGCGAAATTTGTGTTTATAGAAGTATAAAATACAATCATAATAGTGTACAAACTTACAATTCCAATTATTTATAATCGAATTTCGACTACTGCGGGACCTCTAGTTTCAATAAATATTTGATGATCTGAATATATTGTGTACGTCGTATATACGATAGCACCGCCTTATCTCTTTCCGTGGAAGTTTTAATAGGCGTCTAAAGGATTTACCGGTGGTAGGTCGTATTTTAATCATTCACGGGTAGGTACTACGATCCGACCTTTTTCTGTAGCGAAATAGAACATTTTGCTTTGTAGAGAAGGAACAGCCGTTGAACAAACACAGAGTTCGACCTCATGTCTCAAGATGGGAGACGGCGTTCATGTTGTGATGTCCATAGACTCCGATAACCAGTTAACGCCGTGTGAATTTTGAGCTCCTTTAACTCAATCTCTATATATAAAAATGAATTGCTGTTCGTTAGTCTCGCTAAAACTCGAGAACGGCTGGACCGATTTGGCTAATTTTGGTCTTGAATTATTTGTGAAAGTCCAGAGAAGGTTTAAAAGGTAAATAAATAATAAAATGCTCGGAATTAAATAAAAATAACAATTTTGTTTTTCCTTTGATGTGTCCCCCGTCTTTTTTTTTGTTTTAAGTTTATTTTATACAAAAGTTTAGGTCTTTTATCGCTTTAGGTCGAAGTCTGCCGGGTCAGCTAGTAAATCAATAAAAAAATATATTAGTCACTCGTGGTTCGTTTTCTCCTTGAAATAAACGAACAAAAACCCGACGAACTCGAACGTACAGAGCTATTTGTTCAGTGCTTTGCTAAAAAAAACCAACATAATACATGTTACAAAATAAGTTTTCAAATTGACTAACTGGCTCTGACTTTAGTACCAAACGATAGTCTTTATTATGAGATTTTTTTATTATTTTCGATTATCTTAACCACTTCCCACTAATTCACTATGAACTCGTAATGAGCTTCTAGAATTGGGCTTTTACGCGTTTTCGATCGTGATCTTTATCGTGATCATCATTAGCCCACACTCGTCCACTGCTGGACATAGGCTTCAAGTTTGCCCCATTAGCCCCGTTCCCGTTCTCCACATTCCGGTCTTTTGTAAATCATCGCTCCATCTGGCCGAGGGAATGCGTATGCCACTTCGCGGTCCACAAATGTAACCTGTACTTTTACCGAAAAGTAATATGTAACTTGCTATTTTTCTTTGAACTAGGCCTAAAGTCTCGGGTTCCTTTATTGCATAGATGTTGGGCAGATTGAGAAGATCTAGACCTTTCTACTTATATGTTTTTACCGTGAGGTGTATTCCGTTGACCTTGTTAATGGCGTCGTTGTTATTTCAATAACGTTTTATTATTTTTTCAGCATAAATCACCCTTATCAATATAGATTAAAACACATTATTCATACCGCAATATCGCATGCCACTGTTTTGTATAAACACAGTGCCGTCACAGGCATCACGGCTACCCGATGTGGGTCTCGGATATCGGTCTCTGTAACTTGAAATCGTCGTGGCCTAAAGGATAAGACGTCCGGCGCATTCGTGTTGCACCGGTGTTCGAATCCCAGGCGGGTACCAATTTTTCTAATGAAATACGTACTCACCAAACGTTCACGATTGACTTCCACGATGAAGGAATAACATCGTGCAATAAAAATCAAACCCGCAAAATTATAATTTGCGTAATTACTGGTGGTAGGACCACTTGTGAGTCCGCGCGGGTAGGTATCACCACCCCGCCTATTTCTGCCGTGAAGCAGTAATGCGTTTCGGTTTGAAGGGTTAGGCAGCCGTTGTAACTATACTTGAGATCTTAGAACTTATATCTCAAGGTGGGTGGCGCATTTACGTTGTAGATGTCTATGGGCTCTAGTAACCACTTAACACCAAGTGAGCTGTGAGCTCGTCCACCCATATAAGCAATAAATAAAAAAATTAATGTGTGTTTATCGTTCTCTTCAGATGTCCGGACGGTGTCCAGCACTTCAAAGTATTAAGAGACGCCTCGAGCAAGTTCTTCCTTTGGGTCGTCAAGTTCAATTCGCTCAACGAACTAGTTGATTATCATCGTACCGCGTCTGTCAGTCGCCTTCAAGACGTTAAACTGCGCGACGTCGTCCCCGAAGAAGTAAGTACCGTGCTACCTTAATTTATTATCACCAACGTCAGAGGTCTCAACTCTGGTCTTTTCCATTTTTCTATACGGAGCGGAGACCTGAACCCTTACAGCGGCTGATCACAAACTCGTGGATGCTTTTGAGATGTGGTGCTGGAGAAGAATGCTCCGAATACCTTGGACAGCGAAGAGAAGCAATCTGTCTATCTTAGACCAACTGCAGATCAAGACTAGACTGTCCGCTCTCTGCCTTCGCTGCGCACACGAGTACTTCGATCATATTGCTCGGAAACTACCGGATAGCTTAGAGTCGTGACAGGGAAGATCGAGGGAAAGAGACTGCGCGGGCGCAGTCCGACAAGGTGGTTCGACCAAATCCGCACCACACTAGAGATCCCATTCCATGACGCCCTTCATGCGGCCAATGATCGGAGGCGCTGGCGGGACATTACAAGGAGCAAAATCCTGTCGATATATAATGGTCACGACCCTCAGCAATGAGGAAACGACGCGAGGAGGAGGACGTCAGAGGACCACAAGGCACTTCTAATAATGTGTGTCCGAGTTTTAATCAGATCCAGTATTAGACGTTTATGACCTTGAACTCCCATCCTCTCGTGTCTTAGGGGCGTAAGACCTTTTAACCCCGAAGTGACCACCCGTTTTATTCAGACCGACGGGATAGTAATGACATTGCAAACGAAACATCAACTTAATATATGAATATGTGTGGCGACATAAATTTTGTTTTCTCTTTTGTGGGCCCCTCTGAACTCTATCCGTCATAAGTTTAAAAAAATATATACTTCATTAATCACCTGCTCTGCCATTTTTAACTAAATTAGTATCTACGTCAGCGTAGAAGGATCATCATCAAACTCAATTATAATCAAAATAATTAATGAAGTCTTCTTTTTAAAGTCGATAACCCGAAACGAAAAAGTAATTTCGTTTTATTTTGGACACACGAACTTCTGACCTCTTTTGACGTTCTAGATTTTAATCTGACAACGTAAATCAAGTAAATTTGGATTATGAGTATTATTTTTTTTTGTATTCTCATTTCAAATTTTGTTATAATAATTAAATGAAAACTGCTTGGAATGACGAATTTTGTTTATAAATTAAATTTTCATATCTGCGGTTTCGTGTTCATTGCTTATTATAATGAGCTCCGGAAAATTAAATGAAGCATTCTTTTGAACGCGTTTGGCTGGGTTCAGTTTCTTTTTTTTTTTCATTCTGTCTATATAAAACTAATATGTGTAGTTTTGTTTGTTAAGCGTTCGCTTTGTGCTGTTTTTAGTATTTTAGGGAAGTTCTTCAAATAAATAATAATAACTTTTACAATATGAACAATATAAATTTTAAACAAATTTCATTCAACGTGAAGATTTGAGGTTGAGTATTTTCAAGTAAAACTCGCGAATAAAGATAATGAAACCTCTTTAGTGAAATCATTAATACTACTTGCTCAGTGACCACAGTACATAATTCGTATTTAGTCACAACGATAGTAGCAGGCTTCACTGTTACGTAATGTCGTAAACTCCTGAAAAACGTGTTAGGTACTTGTTACATTCCGTTTGTACTCCTCATAGGCGTGTTCGCGTAAATATTTGGGCCGCGCTCTGACCCTGATGAACCAACAAAAATAACCCGGTCAGTATTGTATTCCTGTAAACTACGGTTGGTGTGCAGCACACACTCACACATACACACACACATTACTTGCATCAAATTATATTATCTTGCTAAAATTAACGATTGATTAATGACACGAAAGGCAATTCGATTGTTTTATGGTGTGAAACGCGATGTTTCAATAAATTATGAAAATAAAGCCGTCGAAAAAATGACGCCCTCATTGAGTTTCTAGTTCGAATAACAGGACGATACCGTGACACGATCGTATTGAAAGTAAAACTCACAATATGATGTAATTGTTTGGTATTGAGCGATTTATACAGAATTATGTGTGTGCGTGTACTATTCTTGGTTTTCCTTCACAATAACAGATAGAACTGAATAGATTATCGATCGATATTATATCGATATTCGTGTTCTTTTTTTAAAGTATGTATTTACAAATCAAAACTAACTATATATAATAAATATGTCAAAATGTAATGGTTGGTTTGTTATTGTGTCACACAAAAAAAAACGCTTCAATTTTTATTTTCTTTCAATTTAATCGGTGGTCACTGACGCAAACAATCTTTCGTCCGAAATTATAACTCCTTTGCCATTTTAGAAATACAAATTTTAAGAATGTGAAGAGAACGAAAGAGAAAACGAGAAGAGAAAGATAGAATAGAGAAGTGTGAGAAGAACAGCAATATAGAATAATTATGAAATAAAATTAACAATGTAGAATTCTGAATTGGTAAACTCGATACTGGCATATAGGGAATTTATTCTATTGAACATTCAAATTAATATTCTAATGAGTTTCGTTACGTTATTTTACGCAGTGTTTTATTTTTATATATAAATTTGACGCTCGGTGTATATGCAATGATGTAACTATAGTATCAGAAATCCTAATAGCGATTACCAATATATCTATATATGTAACATACATAACATAACGGTAGGCAGCGGCTTGGCTCTGCCCCTGGCATTGCTGAAGTCCATGGGCGACGGTAACCACTCACCATCAGGTGGGCCGTATGCTCGTCTGCCTACAAGGGCAATAAAAAAAATTAAAAAAATACGTATCTATAAAGTTTATACAAACAATTTTTAAAACAAAGTTATTGCTTCGTGTAGTAGTGAATAAATTAATAAATTTATTAAATCATTTTTTAGATTTACAATTTCGTGAAAGACTACCCTAAAAACAATTGAATAAAATAACCGACGAACCAGTTACTGTATCTTGAAGAGCACAATTCGAAAAGTTGAAATATACATATTATAATATAATTAATTATCCTTATGCTGCTCCTTTTACAGACGATATTTATTTGTCCCATTTAAAATTGCTGAATATAAAACAAAAATTTGTATAATAAATAAATAGTAGTACAGTATATTGGAGGGGGGAATAGAGACTAGAGTTAGAATAGGGACAAATCTGGGATGTCACAACAATACTTTTGTTTAGTTGTTAGATTTAACTTTTTTGAACTGAAAATGACTTTTATTTAGTGTTTAATAATATTAAATAGTTTAAATTAGTCATCAAAGTTTTGTAACTCATTGAAGATATTAAAAAGTTAATTATCTAAAGTTAGGTACCTACCTAACAATTAAATAATGCCACCCCTATCAAAAAACTATTGTCCCCATAAGTAACTTGATTCACCCCAAAGCCAAGGTGAATTGGGTCAAGCTAGTTTTTTTCAGTTTTTGTGTATATTTTGTAGTAAACATGTATAATAACGCATCGTATATCAAAATTTAAGCCTACGGAACCATTTTAAACTTAATTTTATTGGTATTACCCTAAGAAAAAACCATTGAAAATTTTTGTTGGATTTGGATGGGGTCCCGATTACCCCCAATCTACGGTAACCGATGTAGATGTAACCTACTATTAACAATAACGAACGAAATTGTTTCACATTTTAATTTGTAATGCGATTTGATTTCAGATGTTGGTGCAGGCTCTATACGACTTCACCCCACAAGAGGCTGGCGAGTTGGAGTTTAGACGCGGTGACGTCATAACCGTGACAGATCGCTCCGACCAGCACTGGTGGCAGGTAAAGTGAAAACACATTACAATTTAAGGCCAGAGATTATTTGATTTTACTTATCGAGCCAAATTTACTGGTGGTAGGTGTTTTTTTCCTACCTAGCTGAGAGCCTTGAGAGGCTATTTCAGCGTAACCTTTACTAGTAAGTGAGCTCACGGGGTTCAAACCTGACGACGTTGCTAACACGAACCCCAGCAAGAGCCGTGGTTCGCAGAATCTACTACCGGATCGGAAACGCGACCCACTGAGAAGATCCGGCGAGAAACTCAGTAGGCTGTGTCTGAGGGTGCCTGGTGTTAGGACGTCTTCTGCATCCGTACGGGTAGGTACCACCAACCTGCCTATTTCTGTCGTGAAGCGGTAAAGCTGCTTTCAGACTACGGTATGCTATAGTGCCATATAGTTAGCAGCCAATAATGAGCCAATAATATATAGTACAGTACAGTACAGTGTGAACGTGTCCATAACAATGTGTGGTGTGCGATATTGTTGTGCTATGAGCGATATACTATATGCTATTATATTATAGCGTAGTCTGAAAGTGGCTTAATGCATTTCGGTTTGACGGGTGGGGCAGCCGTTGTAACTATACTGAGACGTTAGAACTCATATCTCAAGGTGGGTAGTGGCGTTTATACCAGGTGGGCTGTGAGCTCATCCACCCGTCTAAGCAATAAATAAATAAAAAGCTAATGTATTTCAGACTCATTAGCGTAGCTTTGGGTTGTTCGTTGTTACAAAGCGTTCCCATAGAGAGTGGGTCGCGTTTCCGATCCGGTGGTAGATTCTGCGAAGCACGGCTCTTGCTAGTGCTACTGTTACCAATGCTAGCAACACTTCAGGGTTGAGCCCTGCGAGCTCACCTACTAGTTCTGTGAATCTAGAATAACCCCTCGAGGTTACTAGAATAGGTAGGAAAAATAATAATTACAAAGCGTTGGTCTCGTTTATCGCAGGGCGAGATAGCTCACCGCCGCGGGCTGTTCCCGGCTTCGTACGTGACGGCGTACCACTCGTCATAGTGGGCGCGCGCCTCATCCCCCCTCCCCCCGCCTCTCTACCGCCGCCGCCGCCCCGCGTTCCCTCACAACCGTCGGACCGGACCCAGGCACGTACGAAGGCCGCACATCGACGCCCGCTAAACAACGTCCACTGCTGTATCTAGTAAGTACATTGTATCGTATCGTTCGTCGGCCGATTCAGATATTATTATTACATCGAAATATTATTAGAAACGTGCGTTTTTTTAAATATTAGTCATACTAAAATCGGATATGTTTGAGCTGTGAACGGGGAAAGACCGCCCGAAGTGACGGGGACGGCGCCGGTGTCCCGCCCCCCAACCCCCCGGCCCCCTCAAGAGAGATTTCGGTTTTTGTGTAATATTTCGTGAGTATTTTGGTGCTTTCGTGTACTCTACAGCGTATCGTGAAAATTATGAATAAAATTTTTTTAATGCGTATTTTGTAATAGTAATTTTGCGAGAGATTTACGTCGTCGGTCCATTGTTTTTTAATCGTGTTTTTTGAAAAGAGAGAGTAAGCTGCCTTATTTATATAATTTCTTGCATCGCAGTGTAAGAATAATTCGGTAGTACAAAAAGTTATTGGTATTTTTGTGTCGTGTTTCGTATCGATTTTAATGTACTCGGTAACTTTTTTTTTTTTAAATCTGATTTTGACAATTTACAAAATAATAATATTAGAGTGATTTTTATATCCTCGGTAACGTGCCAGAATTATGTTATTTTGTAGTTTTTTGAAATGTATTTTTTTTTTAGTAATAGAAATATAATAATAGGGAGCTAATGCTACCCAGTTATTGCTGGTGTCTCCCCATCCGCGTATGTAATGTAGATTTTCTTTTAATTTTTATTATGTTTAATTCGATGTGATTTTAAATGTTTCGCCGCTATTTAACGATTATTAGTTTCTAATGTTCATTAAAAAAAAAAAATTTATCGTTTGTAATTTAGATAGGCGATTTAATTGTTAGTTTCGCTTTATCGATTTTAAATGTATGTTTTATTTTGAATTGCGTAAAATATTTTGTACTGCTACTTTTAATTAGTTCAGCTTTAGCTATTGACAATGTCCGAATGTACTAAGTATAAATCGGCTCTATACGTTTTCTGTTTACGCACAAAATTATAATACTCCCACATTACGTTTTAATATTTACAATTATATATATTTATGAATATACATAATTTTATTTTGATTCAGTTATTTTATTATTTGACGGATTGTGACGGAATGGATTGTCCAATGACACGATAATAATTTTAATGATAAATGAAAATGAAAAAAGTAACACCAAGCTTTTTATCGCTTTCAATGCTCGATGCGGGTTCGTTACCTGTTTTTGGTTTTTTATTTGTCAAACGGAATTTAAATTAAAAAAAATTATTAAAAATATATTACATATAAAATGTTAAACATAAATATAATTCAGATTCTAATCGTAAGGTAACGAAACTAAGATAGTTGGTAGAACGACTAATGTTGACGAGAAAAATACATAATATACATATATTAATTAAAATAAAGTATATAGACGCTTGAAATGCAAACGTGACTAAGCTACAATAACTGCTTTGTACATAAATGATAGGCAAATGATATTCGATGCGCAAAAAAATATATATTTCTAGGTCTATTACAATCATTTCAATCCTAGAGCTAGATTCGTTAAAATATAACTTTTTTCAGGTATTTCAACTTTAAATTAGTCTACCGTAAAGTCCACGCATTGTCGCTTAGTCACGTTTGCCTTTCGAGCGTCGATATATTAATTAAAAAAAAGTATATATATCTTCCGATAGTGAATATCTGAGCGCTCGGTACATAATGTCTGTCTGTGGAGCCAGGATTGATAATGTCCTGACGATGGGGTTGACAGTGTTGACACACATTTTCGGGCTAATACAGCTTTGTACTTAGTTAGCGTTAAACATTTAGTCAAGACTCGAGAAGAGGAAATGAGAGCGCCCGTTAATCCAATGTAGATAATTATTTTTGTTATTGTAATGTACCCAAAATTACTATATATCTAATACATATATTTATAGAGGCGTAATTGAATTAGATTTTCTTTTTCTTTTATTTTTTAAAATAGTAATCGAACGAATTAGGTGATCGTTAGGTGTAAGAGCGACATCTCGATTATTATCCGTAACGTAATATCTCGACGTCAGTGCCAAAAGATAGCTTGCATGTTTAAAAAAAAAACATTTTTTGTACTGGTAATTTTTTTTCTATAACGCCCACTTATCTATAAATATTTATTTCATAATTTATTCAATTCAGCGTCTAATGTGATTTGAAAAGCCCGAGGAACCGAGTCTTTTGGCACTGATGTCCAGAATATGTTTTTATTTTTATTTCTTATCATTTTAAATGTCCCACGAAGCATTTATGTGTGTATTAAAAAAAAAAATAGGGAACGCATCTCGATATGAAATCGAGTGAGAATTTTATAACTTTAATATGCTTGTTCGCTGTAGTGACACGTATTGCGAGTTTGTGGCGATTATTCATTATATCGGGAGCGCTGTGTAATCTATAATCAGAAATATTCAAAGAATTTAAGTTATCGTTTCTCCAATATTGTGGAAGATGTATAATATTTTTTACTAATAAATTTAATATTGTAGTTTTGGTGTTTTATTTTATCCTCGCAATAGTTCCTCTCGTCGATTCGATTGTATCCGTATGTTGATTTGGTTTTGGTTTTCCAGGAAAATGAAATACGGAATCTATATTAATAGTTTATTTGAACATTTATTTAACCATTACAGCTCTTGAACGTAAACATTTCAACAATTACCACTGACCTAAATGTCTATAAATAAAATATATCTGCTTACAACTAAATAAACGATACGCTATCATCAACAATGATTGAATCACAGTTTGTATTTGTGTAAATATAATTGCTAAAAGCACTGTTAATGTATAAAATGTATAATAGTAAATCTTTCGCTAGTACCTATTATTGTTATTTTTATTAAATTTATTATTGAAATTAACAAAATCCGCTTCGTAAAAATAACTTGTTTAAGGTGTAATCAACAAATTTAATAATATATTTTAGCACCATTATTTTTGATTCGATGTTACAAATACACGAAACACAACATATTCAAAATCTTTGGTAAAAATCGATTGCTTTATAATATAAAGTAACATGTATGTATATAGAAATAATATTGATAGTAATTTGGTTCCTGGCATTGCTAATGTCCATTATCGGCGTCGATTTACCAACTAGTGGCCCGTTTGCCCGTTTGTTTTGTTTGAAGTTCAAAATATGAAAATTCATAGAATTGGATATAAAACATGATTTGTAGTATAGTAGTTATTACTATAAAATACAACGTAAAAAAAAGTATTCATTCATTCAAAGATTTAACCGCTTTAGCGGATTGGTAAAGCCGCAATGGAACGTAAAGGACCGAGTCATGCGCGACACTTGACTTGTTTGTGTTACATTGCGTGCAGTGTGAAAAATAGTAATGAAATTAATCTGGTACAATTTTCCGAACGTCGCTTTATAATTGGAATGGCAAGCTTCGTTTTCGACAACGACTCCAATAAACTGTGTGAATATTTGTTTTTTAATAAAGGTATACCAGAAAAATATTGCCAAAAACGACATATCATGTGAATAATATCTATGCATACAAAGCAATCTATGTGATTAATTAAATTTCTTTCAACAATGTATTTAATATTGATACAAAATTGATATTTTCATGATAAATTCCTTCCTTTTATTTATATTACTGAACATCGCAGAGGACGTAAGGAATAAATATGTAAAATTGCGTTTTAAAAATTGTATCGTAATTAAATATTATATAATTTAATTTCACCTGTTTTAATCAAATTTATGTTATATGACATAAATGACCTCATTTCTCAAGGTGGGAAGTGCCATTACGTTGTGATGTCCATTGGATTCGATAAACATTTAACACCGGAAGCTTCGTGAGCATTTTCAACTAGACAAATAAATAAATAAAAACATATCCTATAAAATATCGAATATATGTTTGTAATAAATTAAAACCGACGACAATATCACAAGACAAACCTCTAATGGCGAGATCTTCCATAATTTTTTTCCCTAAAAAAGAAACATCGGATCGAATAAATAACCATTTTCTCAAGGTAAAATGGCATATTAAGTCCTTTTCCCTAACCTCATGTAATTTAATGTTAGCTAAGCATTGGCTAATTAGCTATACTACACATCTAATAAACAAAGCACCTACGTCACTATTTCAATTTAAAATATAGTGCACGGAACATAAGATAAACGAACGTTCTAGAACGTTTTTCCTCCTATAGCAAGCATGATGTTTTCAAACGCAATCCAATTTATAAGCGCCCAAGGGCCGAGTCGCATCCACAGGGGTAGGAACCCTTTGTACAGCGATAGCACCCCTTCGTTTCTCACAGACTGTTGGAGACAATCAATCATACCACGGTACAGCGTTCCTCTGTAATAAAAACATTTCATATTAATAAACATTATTAATTTTACGTTCCAAATTCAATTCATAATTTAATGACATTTGAACGGCTAATGGAATTCTTAAAATTCTGAAGGTGGAGGGTGACTGTTTCCTTTTCTAATAGAATTAAACTGCTATATTGACTGTGATTAAAAATATTATTGTATTAAGCCAGAGCATAAATTTTCGTTTTGGTAAGTTCATAATGTTTAGCGAAATCATAATATTTCTTGAAGACAGTCAGAGGCAAGGCCCCTTCTACAATAGAATTACGTCATTATAAGAAAGTTGGAATTAGTACCTAAAATCAACTTTGTTCCTAAGAATGTATAGAGAAACGTTTTTTTGTGAATATTTGAGTCTCATTTACAGGCTAAACTCGGTTGATGGAATCCATAGACAACACGACAAAGAAAGTTGATGGTGGGAATCGCGATGGTGCCACGTTAATTTTATTTTCTCTAAAGGGAAATACAATGACGTCTCACTAATATGACATTTGAATGCAAGTGAAATCACGCCATAGACAATACGCATAATACTGCACACTTTATTTGTAGGTAGTTAATCTTGTCAAATGGTTACAAATTTCGCACAGATCTATTTTATTACATATTTAACAGTTAGTTAATATTACTGGGTATTGTGTATTATCTTCATCAATTTTCCCACGTGAACGGGGTATATTACTATTCTATTGGGCAAGGAGTGCTGGGAGTTCATATATTTGTACTGTTATACGTGTATCAATCGTATTATACGATTTGATAATTGCTACTGAACTCAGGTTTAGACGACCTTTAATTATTAATTGAAAATTAACTAAACTTATAACGTTTTCCGTCGAAAAATTATATATCGAATTACGTTTTAGTAATGTCAAGGAATCAAATCAAATGAGGTTTTAATGTTGTAGGCACACCAATCAATACAATAGTACAAAATACAGTACGTATTATGACATAATATTATGCTCGTGGATCCCTTTGTCTTTCGAACGTCGACTTTGACCTCGTTTATTTGACCCCGACCGTTGAGTACTAGTATGCGTGGGTGTGTCTATTTAGGACTCACACAAAGGCATATAAGTAGTAAGTAAGCGTGTTGGAAACGAAAATTTGACGTCACAAGGCCTGATTTACACGAGGAGAGTCGAAAACGAGCTACGAGATTATCGTATGTGATTAGGTTAGATACGCGTGATAAAAGCTAGCGCCAATCGGGCCTTAATCTGGCGATAGTGAAAAATACATTCTGAGATGACACAGCCATTTATTTGAGCAGTGTAACTCACGTTTGTTTACCTAAGCAAGAACACTATTTTCCGTTATTCTGACCAACTTTTGTTTAAAAAGCAGGAAGGTTGTTATTCCAATAATATAAACCAATAATTCAATATTATGCCCAATGGACTCCGGTTGTAAGTACATAGTTAACATCCGGAAGATTGTCGGTCTATCCTCATTAATTATAATGAAATTAGCTGTAACGTTTCACAGGAACCGGAAAGAATAAAAGAACGCTCACTTGTTTTTGGAAGAAATGTTTATATTACTTAATTTTCGGTGTAAAATGATGAGCTTCAATTAAGATTTTTCTTTAAAATAAACGTAATTTTAAGATATTTTTCGTGTTTGTTTCTGAATTATTTTTTTAAAATTAGATGCCTTTTTATTTTGTTTGGTGTCATAATAGAATAACTGGGGGAAAAAAATAACTATACTAAAGCAGCAACTTATTTAATCATCTTTTAATTATTTTTATAAAAAATTACGCAATCTTACGCTGATTAAAATGTTCACTAAGAACATGTGACTCTGCCGGTGACTCAAAATGGCTTCGAGTGAACCACATACACACGATGGAATGGAACATATAGAAATCGGTTATTTGTTCATATTGGATTTATAATTATGTGCTGCATTACAAACGACACGCGAATATTAACAATGAGCAAAGGAAAAATACTTTTACTCTCAAAGTAATTGATGCCTGCGTCATGTGTGAAGCCGAAAGTACTCCGAAAGGTTTCCTACAGCTTGCTTGTGCAAAATATTCAAAAATCATCGAGGTACTAATATTGAAATATTCGAAAGGAACAAATACAGTTAACACTGCTAATGTAACTAAGCTACACTAATTTGGAAAACATTCCGTGTTTGTTAATATACAAAAACGCTCTTTTATTTTAAACTAGCTGACCCGGCAGATTTTGTAGTGCCTCAATCGATAAATAAAAGACCTAAACTTTTGTATAAAATAAACTTAAAACAAACAAAAGTAATCTGTCCGACGGGGGACACATCAAAGGGAAAACAAATTTTTTATTTTTATTTAATTCCCAGCATATTGATATTTATCTACCTATGAAACCTCTGGACTTCCACAAATAATTCAAAACCAATATTAGCCAAATCGGTCCAGCCGTTCTCGAGTTTTAGCGAGACTAGCGAACAGCAATTAATTTTTATATTTATAGATAGATGAACACTAGGCGACATAGCGTTGTTAATATGGAGACCACGTGAACAAAATGCACTGTCATTTGTATGAAATTTCAAAAATACCAACCTTCCATCCGGCCCAACGGGTTGATTCATCAGTCGAGTTTTAAGTACGTCGGCAGGTGTTCCTAGAACGGCTGCCACAAATCCCGCATTGAAGGCAGCCGCCGCGTGCACCAACATGGTGTCAGCCATGCCGAATTCACGCATTAGGAACTGCTTCGTATAGTCGTATGATGCTAAATCTCCCATATTGACCAATGCTGCACGTTGTACATTTGGTATTGCACCTATATATATCCATAAATTTTTATTATTATAATTCTCAATATATAATATGCCTAATAACTGTACTTTAATATTATTAAATAATTTTGTATACCTAAAACTTTTATAAGTAAGTGTAGGAAAGTAAGTGATGCATTTTTTTTTATTGCTTAGATGGGTGGACGAGCTCACAGCCCACCTGGTGTTAAGTGGTTACTGGAGCCCATAGATATATACAACGTAAATGCGCAACCCACCTTGAGATATAAGTTCTAAGATCTCAGTATAGTTACAACGGCTGCCCCACCTTTCAAACCGAAACGCATTACTGCTTCACGGCAGAAACAGGCGGGGTGGTGGTACATACCCGTGCGGACTCATAAGAGGTCCTACCACCAGTGAAAACAAACAAACAGCATTTAACAAATAAAAAATGAGGTTAGATACTTCGTGAAAACACTAAGTTTAAAGCCTAAAAAGATAATTTAAGTGTAAACATAAATGCGTAATTACTGGTAGATAATTGTGAAAGTATAGTAACTCAGCACGAGTAGCGGAAAGACCTAAATGTTTGAAGTTCGTAGAGTAAATTTCGTCAGAGCCATACACAATTAAGATACGCCTTGTGTTTCAAATTGAACGCGTTATGAACTACTGCATAGTACGTGATCTATTTTTATGTTAAAATAGACATTGAGTACATAATTTTATTTAGTTTTTGTATGGCGTCTTGTGAACCCGCAGGGATAGGTTGTAGTAATGCGTTTCGGTTTGAAGGGAACAGCCGTTGTACTATAAAACTGACATTTAGAACTCGTGTCTCAAGATGGGTGCCGGCGTAACGTTATTGATATCTATTAACTCCGGTAATTTATTCTAAGCTACGCCCAGACGGGTAGGTGAGCTCACAGGATCAACCTGAGAGAATATGCTAGCACTAGTCCTAGCAAGAGTAGTGCTTCGCAGAATCTACCACCGGTTTTGAATCGCGATCCACTGAGAAGATCCAGCGAGAAACTCAGGGGGCTAAAACTGACTTTAGACACGTTTTTATTTTTTTTATTGCTTAGATGGGTGGACGAGCTCACAGCCCACCTGGTGTTAAGTGGTTACTGGAGCCCATAGACATCTACAACGTAAATGCGCCACCCACCTTGAGATACAAGTTCTAAAGTCTCCCCACCCTTCAAACCGAAACGCATTACTGCTTCACGGCAGAAATAGGCAGGGCGGTGGTACCTATCCGCGCGGCCTCACAAGTGGTCCTACCACCAGTAAAAACGTACCTCTCCAGAATCCCAAAATCCCGCTTTCAGCATACAGCATTGCGTAAACTTGTCTACAGTTCTTGAAACGTGGCGTTTTACCCTGCAATACGTTTCTGCCTTCGGCTTGCATTTGCACCTTGACGAGATCCGTGGGGGAAGCGATCAGCTGTGCCAGCGAACCAGCCGCCAAACCACCTGCCGGACTTCGAGACGATTACGTTATGTCATTATACAAATTGAACACGTTGACTGACATAAGTTGATGGTAATTTCCACTGGCAATCGGTATTATTCAGATTATGATACTTTTTAAATGTAGACCAATGTCGGATTGTAGATTAAGATTTGCGTTTTGTCGTGACTGAGACAGGTCAATGTCCTATCATGCAGATTAATGAAGTAGCGTCGTACTTAAATATATTATATAACACAAGGAAATCTGTAGCTCATCACTAGGCACTTATATACATATTATTGAGTAATTTAAAGTTCGTAAGACTAAAAAAGCGGTATTCATAATAAAATGCTATTGCTGCTATATATATGCTTATAGGCTATGAACTTTACAGGTAGGTACTTTTCAGTCTTATTAATCTCCGATAACTCATTTTGATTTTTTTATTTAAACTTGATGAACATGAGAGATGTTGCACTTTCACAAAAATAGCTCATAATAATAAGACTTTGATCTTTTTTAAATATTGCAACAAATTTTGGTATTGCCATTCCCTTCGGTTACGTCCACCCCTCGCGATTTGCGTAACTGATCATATAATTTAATGAGATTCCGTCTTAAAAGCACATCAGCGAAACTCTGTTAACCCATTAAAAATTAACTAACAAAGGGATTTAACATCTTATTGTACTACTGCACTGGACCGGTTCCAATATGATTTAATAAAGTCCTTGGTAGAAAAACAGTGTAGCGAAATGTACCTACTGCAGAATTTAATTAATGAACACAATGAACAATTTCCTTTCTGAGTTGTTCGCGTGAAATTTATTGCTCTAATTGTATTTTCCGCGCAGTGGGTGACGTATTACGACTATATTTGTGTTTGCGTTAGATATTATATTGTCAATTTTAGGATTTATTTAAGCTAGGTAATAAGGACGACGGGGCACATATCAAGTAGTTTTTACGTTTCCACTTATCAAATCTATATCTATACTAATATATAAATCTACAGTGGTTTTTACGGATGTTCCGTTATAACTACTGAACCATGCATCCGATTGACTTGAAACTTGGTATCCATGTAGAAAATACATGTACTTAATGGATAGGCTAATATTTAATATTTATTATTTGCTAAAATTTTTTTCTATTACACGATATTTATTAGAGTTAGCGATATGAAATAGTATTATTATGATACTATGTATCTTAACCTTCAACCATTCCCGCGATGGTGACTACTGCGGGACCTGCTTGCCTCAAATATAGATAAAATGTAATAGACAAGGACCTAATAATAATTCTTGTAACGATGTCATTAGGTAATGACGCTGCTTCGAAACAAATAATTTTATCGTAGTAGGAAATTCTATTTATGAACAAAGGGCATTTCTTCACGCTATGACTCAGCGACGCCCATGTCGATATCTATGATAGGTCAAGGTGTTGGGCAAGGTCTCGACATTAGATCGTGTACTAAAAAAAAAGAATACAATACTGAATGTATGTTCGAAACACCCTGTATTTCTAAATACTTCAACAACGAAGCTGTTAATTCCTGACAGATATTTAAATTGAATTTCAAGTAGCTATGCGCTATGTCAAATACTAAATAAATAATAGTTTAAAAAAACTAAAAAAAGCGTGGGGTGCTTTTCAGGATATTATCAAAATAACCCTTCTACTCATATCTGTTCATAAAATATTTATAACTACTGATACCATGCACCCCATGCTTTTTTTACAATAAAATATTTTTTTCTTACACTAATAACTAAAATCTATTAAAATTTATTTTCTGTATTTTAGATGAATTTTCTATAAAAGCGTATTTTGTTAGTTTTTTTAAACTATTATTTATTTTTCATTTTTTAGTCGAATTTCAATTTTTTCAATATTTTTTTTCAATATTTTTTTATATTTGAATTGTCATCGGTTCTTAATAAGTATACCGAATTTCGAGATAATCGAACGTTTTGAAGGGGGTCAAAATCATGTTCAAAGATTCCGTTACAAACATACATACGTCTGAAGCTAATAAAAGCGTATTAAAATCAAGAGACCCGGAGTCAAGTTCTTATATTTATTTGACAGTGACAATGGCTCGTGTACGAAGCGACTCGAGAACAGCTCGACCGGCTTAGCTAATTTATTTTTCGTTGCGTTCGTGAACAGCTGAAGGTTTGCTTAAAATATTTTGTTGATTAAACCACGATAAGTTTTTTATAGAATTAGTGATAGCCACAGCGAAGCGTGGGTTGGGTGGTTTTAAATAAATACAGCAATATCCAAGCCGGTGGTATTGTTAAGACAGTATCATGTGCCAACAGTTTTCTGGTTCAACTTTAAACAGTTCTCACCCAATGAAGCAGCACCCAGGGAAGCCTTTCCGTTTTCATCTTTCATCATGTTCCGGAAATGTTCGTAGAAGATGAGACGGCATCCGGAGTAAATCGCGTGCCGTTGGAACATCGGCATGAGACCGCTCCATAATTTCAGAATTCCCTCTTGTTTGGCGATACCCACTGCTGTTTTGATCATACCGTGATTTTCCAGCTAAAAAAAGATTGGTTTTTAATACGCTTTTATTAGCTTCAGATGTATGTGTGTTAGTATGTTTGTAACGGAATCTTTGAGCATGATTTTGACCCCCTTCAAAACGTCGGATTAACTCGAAATTTGGTATACTTATTAAGGACCGATGACAATTCAATATTTAAAAAAACATGGTATCAGTAGTTATAAATATTTTATGAACAGATATGAGTAGAAGGGTTATTTTGATAATAACCTGAAAAGCACCCCACGATTTTTTACAATAAAATCATTTTTTCTTACACTATTTTTAATTCAAATTTATCAATTTTTTCTTTCTTTTTTATGTACGCAAAAGTCATGCGGCAATTTATAATTTGCCTAGTTATTGATGGTAAGGGCATGGTATTATAAGCCCACTTAATCCTGCATATTTCTACCTCGAAGCATTACTCGTATACCTACTTCTGCATAGTGTTATAGTCTAACTTATACGAAATCGTCTTTTCTCAAATAATACGCATTGCTGAAGTTATGCGTTTCAATTTGAAGGGCTGTGTAGATAGTTGTGTTCAATGCAATTAAAGACTTCAACTTTATTTGTCCATGTGGGTGGTGGCATTATGTTTTGAGACTATGATTACCATTGATACCATATTAAAAAAAATTACTATTTAATTTCGTAACCAATACAATACCAAAAAAACTTTTATTACTGGTGGTAGGACCTCTTGCGAGTCCGCGCGGGTGGGTACCACCACCCCGCCTATTTCTGCCGTAAAGCAGTAACGCGTTTCGGTTTGAAGGGTGGGGCAGCCGTTGTAACTATACTTGAGACCTTAGAACTTATATCTCAAGGTGGGTAGCGCATTTACGTCGTAGATGTCTATGGGCTCCAGTAACCACTTAACACCAGGTGGTCTCGTCCACCCATATAAGCAATACAAAAAAAAAACTTCAAACACGAGTTTGTTGTCAATCACGTTCGACTTTGAACGCTTTAGGAATACATACAAGAAAAGTTCATTTTGAAATAAACAAAGTAAAATAGAACACAAGAATGTGTGCTGATGGTCACCTTGTAACCGTGTTTAGCGGCTGCCACTTCCGATTGTATTTGTAGCCTTGTCTTGGTCAAGTCGAACGGGTATGTCGCTGGAAACAGTTTTAAACGTACAAGATTAGCGTGAACATTGTATATTTACAACTAACAGCTAGGTATGTTGGTTATTAACATCATTATTTAGGATCTGTGCACACCACGTTTTTTGCGCTGTCGACGCGTGTTCGTAGCGATACAGACGCGATACACACGCAAGTCAGACGCAGCCTGTAGACCTTTTCACACCTGTATAAATTCAAATACGCGTTTGAATCGATTCAGACGCGATGCTAACGCGCGTTTATATCGATACAGACGACAACAAACCGCTCTGTAGGATAAAAGCGCGCCGTCGCGTCGACGCGCGTTTTGGAAACGTGGTGTGCACAGGCCCTAAGACCTTATTGTAAGCTTGAACGGGCAGGCACTACCATGCCGCCTTTTGCTGCCACGAAGTGAAGTAAACAAATCAATTGAGACTTCGATTTGGTGTCTGGAGGAAGGTTACCGCATTTACGTTGTGACGACGTCTATGAACTCTAGTAATCACTCAACATCAGTTTGGTCTTGAGCTAGTTCACCCATTTATTCTATAAACAAAAAATGTACGGATATCCAGTCGTAGAAATTTTTTAAAATAGAAATTAATTGAAATACCTACTTGATTGAAAGTTAGGTATTTCTTTAGGTAATTATTTGATTGTCTTTGATATTCCAGATTTTTCAAATACACAATTACATTTATATGGATTTTTAATCGTATGCTTTAACAAAGTCTTAACAGATCTTTCATCGAAATGTTTTTCTAAAAACGGATTTCTTCCAATTAAAACATATCGCGTTCTATTACTTTATACTTTAAAGCAGGGCTCCCAAACCTATTTTGTCTACTACCTACTTTGAGAATAAATAATTTTTTAGCGTCCCCATTTTTTCACCTACTTAAAATCCACTATAGCGAGAGCTCAGTCGATGTCTAAGAGTCTTCCTAAATGAAATTAAAAATCGCCTGCCAAGCCTCTACACAAGGCCGCCATTTTTTTTCTGGGTCTCTTATCGACCCCCTCTAGGCCTGCAGCACCCACAAGGGGGTGTTATCGCCCACTTTGGGAAAAGCTACTTTAAAGCAACCTAACATTAAATTTTATCTTACCGTTTAATTTCCCTTACAACGACATTAGTAATCAGTGACTCATTCAGATAGGTTCGTGGAAACCTGGATCGATACAAGTAATCACAATCATATACAGTATCAATACACTTTACTCATTTTGACTGTGGAAATAATGAATCGAAAAATAATAATAAATAGCATACCTAATCATTGGTAGCCTAAGGGGCTATTCTATCTACGATCTCACGGGGCTTATCCACGGAGGACTGGCTAAAACAAGCCTAAAAGAGCAGTGCTTCGCAGAATCTACCACCGGATCAGAATTGCTACCTACTGAGAAAATCCGGCGAGTAACCTGGTTTTGTATCTCTGGGCTAGGTTACACCTCGGGTTAATTGACGAAGTCGACAACAACCGTGACCGGTTAGTTTGTTAAGAATCCAACTAAGCGATATCCGAGGTTTTTATTTATTTTAGAATTACCTGAAAGAAAAGTTGTTGTTTTAAATAGTATTATGTCATACCAGTTTCGGCCGCCCACGACCCGAGCACAGCGACCGCATACCTCGCTGCCACTGAGTCAGGTGTTTTGACAGCGGGATGATCAGCATTGCGTAGTACAGGCATCGTGGAGGACTTGTCACCTGTACGTGACTATATTCTGCATGCCTGATGAAAAAGCCGTGAATTAAAAATATAGTAAATATTAACGATATTATGCATTATAACTATAACGTAAAAAAGAGAGAGTGCGAATATAAACACAATAAAATTACCAAGATTATGATATAAATAATATATAATAATCATAAATCAATTTGCCTCGCGGATGGATCTGGACTGCCCAATAATGCAACACTTGACACGTGTGTGGACACAGCTTTTAGGTTGAGGTAGTTTTGGCGTTAATTTTGAGTTTGTTTTATTATTATTATTATTATTGCTTTTGTTTTATTTCGAGACTGTAGTTATAGTTTTTTTTTTTGTTTATTGTTGTTCACTAAAATAACACAAAAAATGATAAACATCTAACACTGTTAAAAAAATAGTGATTGCCTAGCTTTTCGGCCATTAAGTAATCGGTTAAGCTTTGGTTACCTCTACCATCAGAGCATCGTTTTTTAATAACTAAAATTTCAGACTTAATGTTGTGTTTAGAATGACATAGCCTTCGAAACTATTTATATGACGGCCATCTTTCTTCCGCTATGTAACAAATCATTTACAACGAATAACTTCTGTAACAGTTACACAGATAAATGTCTTGTACCAATTAACAATTACAGGAAAAAAACACAATTTACATCATTTTAATTAGCGTTCGCCATTACTATAAACGGTTTCATTGTGTAGGCGCGTTGTCATTATTAGAGTTAACTGGAAATATGGAAGTAGGAGTAACATTTGTACTATTAATGTTTACATCTATTTGCGATTGTAACGGAAGTAAAATACCAATAAAATCTCATTGACTGATAATCATAAAAGGTCATCAGGAATGTACTTAGCAATCACATACATTACGTGAAATCCCGAGATAAAATATTGTCCGCATTCCATCTATAAACATAGGCCGGAAACGAAAACATTCAGGGCTATAAAATGGCTTTTACTTATGTAGGTATTTTAAATTAGCACCCTGGGCATTAGTACATATTGTTTTGTAACTAGATGATGACCGAGCTTTGCTCGTATTTTTTTTTTATAACGTCATCTTGTTGTGTCTTTAAAGCGGTTAGTTGCCCTCAATTAAGAAAAATAGTGTTATTATTCGCCAATAGATGTCGGGAAGAGTCATAACGTTGATTATTGAAAACAGGAATCAAACAACATTTTCTGAAAATAAATCGTAGCTAGATCGATTTATCGCCCCCGAAATCCCCTGTATACTAAATTTTATGAAAATCATTGGAGCCGTTTCCGAGATTCAGATTATATATTTAAAGGTATAAGATATTACAGAACCCATAAAAATAGATAGAATAGAGATAAGGCGTGAGGTGCAGTATCTACTCACCTCAATATTATAAACGCGATCGATTGGTAAATAAAACGTCAAAATAACGATAGCCCATATTTATATATGGGGTCTAAAAAAATACAGTCTACAAATGGAACTGCATAGAAGAAACAAAATTTTTAAGCGCTTCAGTAATATGTGATAGGCATTGTTATGGTTCGCTAGAAAAGGATAGCACTATAGTCACATATGACCCCAATACTAATACGGTCTACGAGAATTCCGTAATCAGTGGATTTGTTGAAAAGAGACAGTATTCCGTTCTCAATGCCGACCAAAAACTTAAAGCGCATTAATATTCGGTTCTTATCAAAGTAACTCGTTTTTTTATTTTTATAAAATCATATTGTATATAATATATAGAGTAGCAACAAGTAAATGTCCATAAATGTTTTATTATCGTATTGACTGATAAACACAAGATCAAGGTACAAATATCAAAGATTATAAACATTACATGCCTATAGCTTATAACAAAAATAATAATATGTGATTCACCGCTTTTATATCGAAGTTTATCAGCCATCACGAACCTAAGTATTTTTAAATGAATGCACACTTATTTCAAAATTGTTTATATTATTATAAGTTTTTTTAACGTTAAACATTTGAACTAGATCACACTGCGCTCGGTTCACAAGACGGCTTACGTTCAATGATTATAATTTTCGCGACTTTGATTTTTATTACAATATTATTTACTGGTGGTAGGACCACTTGTGAGTCCGCGCGGGTAGGTACCACCGCTCTGCCTATTTCTGCCGTGAAGCAGTATTGCGTTTCGGTTTGAAGGGTAGGGTATCCGTTGTAACCATACTGAGATCTTAGAACTTATATCTCAAGGTGGGGGGCGCGTCTACGTTGTAGATGTCTATCGGCTCCAGTAACCACTTAACACCAGGCGGGCTGTGAGCTCGTCCGCCCATCTAAGCAATAAAAAAAAATGTTATTCTTTCATCGTGAAAATCAGCCAAGACAACCAACATGAGTTACGTACGTATTTCATTTGGAAAAAAATGATTCCTGTTTGCGGGATCCGAACAGTCGCATCGCTCGTTACGAATAAAACGGGTGTTTATAATTCATTAGATCACGACGAAATTATAGGATTTACCTACCGAAATAAAGACACTTACATTTTCTTGTTAAAGAATCTTAATGAAAATAGGTCACTAGTGTAAAATTAAGATAGAAAATAGAAAATGTTCATGGCATTTTATTCCTAGTAATCTTAATTCATTTATGAAATTGATAAAAAAAAAAAAATTAAAGTGAAACAAAATCAAACTCACATCGATCCATAGACACAAACGATAACAACAAACGCTACAACAAAATAACCACAAGTAATTTCAAAAGCGCGTCGATCGACCATAGACCAACGTCATTTAATAAAACCAATTTCGAACTGTATTCGTAATGAAAAACACAAACATGCTAGTCTTACTACGAACTTGGACTTCCTATTGGACACGTGTGCTGTGATATATTCTTGGCAACGGTCTAGAAAGACGAGCCGTTTAAAGATCGATAAAGTTTCCATGAAGTTACGTAACGACATGAACACACTGATGGTACTTAATATTCTCGAAATTACTAACTCACATATAACATTGTCTACAATGGAATCTGCTTGTTTCGTGTATAGCTTTGAATATAATAATAGTTAGAAATTCAAAATAGATCAGTTGTTATTATAACGACATTAATACGTTGATCGCCATATGGAAAATCGCGTGTTTTCATTCAGCCAAAAATGCTCACCGGTGAGCTTTATCGTACGGAACCATTCGAGCCAAGAGGGTCACCCGTGAGCCTTTTAAAATATCTAAACGAGACGGTAAAAGTCGTTAATGTTTATCTTCTGTGCAAATTATCGTATTTTATAAATTTTAGTTTGAAAATCTCAAGTTTATAAAAATTATTGATTGCCTAAATTTGGTAATTATTGAAAACTGTGCAGTACATGAAAAGTCTGCAATAATATAATAAGGTTTTTTTTTTTTGTTGTGACATTAAACCGTTAATAGATTTAAATTAAACGAATATCTATTAGAAAATTGACGAATATTTTAGAGATTATAAATTTCACTTTCATATTGTTTTTTTTATTACTCCTTTTTTGCTGTTGCGAATTTCCGGAAATAGATTGTTATTGAAATGCTTATTACTAGTAATTAAATGATGACTAGTGTAGTACATATTAATTGCTTGGAACGGTCTTATCGTTCAAAATGGATTTTGTGTTATCAAACTATTACACGTTTGTAACGTCAATCAGTAGTGATTTATTTGAACAGCAGAATTTAAATGCGCAACAAAGAAAATACCTGACCTGCATTTTTTAAGCGGCAATCAATAAAAAAGTAGCAAGCATTTTAAATTAGGAGCGCATGTTTTGTATTATTACATATTTTCCAAATGTCAAATGCGATATTGATTTAATAATATATGAGCACACTATTTCCTTCCCATATTAAAATTAAGGCAAACCTAACAATATGGGTTATTAAATCAAAATTCAAATATTTTTTTGCCTTTTATGTCCTTATTGAGCTGCTGACTTTAATATGAATGTCATACAATCAGACTGGACTACAAGTTTTTTTATGGCTTAGATGGGTGGACGAGCTCATGACCCACCTGATGTTAAGTGGTTACTGGAACCCATAGACACCTAACCCTTAGACCTATAGACCTTAGAACTCATGTCTCCAGTTGGGTACCTCCAGACATGAGTTCTGAGGTCTCAGTTTTACAACGGCTGCCCCGCACTTCAAACCGAAACACGTTACTGCTTCACGGCAGAAATAGGCAAGTATTATGGCAAATATAAGCAGGATTGGCATTTAACCGTGGGCGAACTCTCAATATTAGGAGACTCCATTGGGAGTACAGAGAGTACGTAACCAAAAATAGACGTATACATAATAAATTTTTTTATTGCCCTTGTAGGCAGACGAGCATACGGCCCACCTGATGGTGAGTGGTTACCGTCGCCCATGGACTTCAGCAATGCCAGGGGCAGAGCCAAGCCGCTGCCTACCGCTTAATACTCTCCACAAGCCTCGTTTGAAGAAGCACATGTCATAGCGCTCGGGAAACACCGTGGAGGGTAGCTCATTCCATAGCCGGATGGTACGTGGCAAAAAATATCTCTGGAAACGCACTGTGGATGACCGCAGTGGCTCCAGGTAGTATGGATGAACTCTACTCCGGTGGCGGGCGGTGCGATGGTAAAAACGAGATGCCGGTATCATCTCGAACAATTCCTCAGAGCACTCCCCATGGAACATACGGTACAAAACACAGAGGGAACCGAAGTCCCTCCGCAGACCCAGAGGAATATATAGGTACATACACTCAAAAAACACGTAATATTTTTCCGTATTCATCGGGCAAAATAAACCGAATTGCATACTGGTTTGATCATTAGAATCTTTATGTGATTTTTTTATGGTCTTTTAAATTGAATACAGACCACTATTTTTTATTATATATACACACTATATTTTAAAATATGTAGTAAGCGTAACTAACCAACTAGATAAGTAAGGCGAGGCGTTTTTGTAGTGATCCAAAATGAAATAATTGAAAACGTTCATATAATATATACTGGCACGGGAATGCTGGAGCAAGGAAACGTATT